ACTAACCCCCCTGCTGGCCTGGTTGCCCCACGCAGCCTGCTGCTCAGTCGTTTGGTCGTCCCTCAATAACCCCCATGCTGGCCTGGTCACCCCATGCAGCCTGCTGCTCGGTCATTTGGTCGCCTCTCACTGCCCCCCCTGCTGGCCTGGTTGCCCCACGCAGCCTGATGCTTGGCTGTTTGGTTGCCCCTCACTAACCCCCCTGACGGCCTGGTCGCTCCATGCAGCCTGTTTGGTTGTCCATTCGGTTGTGATGGTCGCTTAGGCTTTTATATAGATAGATGTGTGCTCATCTTCTTATGTCTGGGTACTTTTCTGGTCTTTGATTTCAGAATTTGGCACCTGAGTTAAAGACAGATAAACCTTCCATTTTCTGCAATTCAGTGATCACATGGTTCATACCATCTTTCACTTTTGTGTGAACAAAAATGTAAGGTCCTGTGAATGAGTGAAAGAATATTGGGTTACTGCTGATTTATACTGTGCTTTTGAGACGAGGATGAACAAAGACCCCAGGGGTCACACTTGAGGATGAGTTCTATGAAATTAACCAAGAAATTACCTTTATCAAGAATCCAGGGGCCCCAGAAAGGAGATTTTGCAGCTCAAAAACAGAAGAAATTCAAGAGAAAGAGATTTATTTGCATAGACCCTCTGCTTCATGAGGTTTAATATCATTGAAATGTGCTGTAATTTTCAGGAACATTAATAAATTGATATTAGGTGGTCTATAGCTTGTAATTAATGTTTCATGGTAAAGATGGCAGTAATGATGTTTTAAATATTCTAATGCTCATTGGATTTCACTTTCGCTGGCAATTTGCAGCTCCTTTGAGTAAAACATTTATGTTCAATTACAGAGACTGATAGATAGATGGGCTACCCCCTCCACCCCACCAGTAGAAAGCACTAATGGTGCTTTCTGACGGCCGCTTTCCTGTAGGGAACAGACATTACAGCTCCACTTCTCTCAGGCCCTCAGCAGCATCTCCGTCTGGCAGGGTTTATATACTTTCTTCCATTTCTTGGACTTCAGATGACACGACCTTGCCATCCACTACTTCTTCCACCACTGTCTTAATCTTCCTGGTTTTCTTTACATCTGAATTTAGATGGAAATATAAAATGTTAATTCAGACACATAACTCTGCTGGTTTATAATACTCAACTTTATTTTGTATGTACTTCCTTCTTTTAGACAAAAGTTCTCTTAAGTGATCTTAAGTCCATTTTAAAAATCAATGCAGAAAAGGTGCTACTCTCCCCAAATTTATACATTTTCTACTCTTCCCACCCCCAAAGAGAAATATATAATATTGAATTAAGCAAATTGCACATTTTCACCCTATTTTTCATTTTCAAGATTTCAGGATGTCTTAGGACAACAGTAGCATGGGGCCAAGAAAATCACCCTGTCCTGGGGGTGTGACAAATTTCCCACAGGGAGGTCTCCTTTATGTGATCTGCTTGATTTTCAGAATCCTGAGGGTAATATATCAGCTCACTTGAGAACTGATCTCCCTTTCCTTTTCACCAGTGGCAGATAAGAAGTGGTAAGCTATTGAGTGAGAGTTTAGCCTTATAGGTAATGTGTGAAATTAGAACACTTACCAGCTTTCTCCTCCAGGATGCTTCTTTTAAGAAAAGAAAAAGAAACAGAAAAAAAGTGTTATTGCCATTTTGAAAATGAAGCATTTTGTTTCAAAATAAAGTCTGAGTGATGTGTGTTTTAATCCTGTGTTTGTATTTCCCCCCCTTTTATTATGCTTGTCTCTTCTAACTTGAGTGTCATACTTTTTTTTTTTGTTAATCCTCACCTGAGGGTATTTTTCCATTGATTTTTTAGAGAGAGTGGAAGGGGGTGGGGAGGGGGGAGACTCAGAGAGAAAAACAACGATGTGAGAGAGACACATTGATTGGTTGCCTCCTGCACGTGGCCTGACCAGGGCTGGGGATCCAGCCTGCAACTGGGGTCGAACCCAGGACTCCTCAGTTCAAGGGCCAAACTCTATCCATTGAGCCCAACGGGCTAGGGCAGAGTGTCTTATTTTTTAACTTGAAAAATACATAGCTTCCAAACTGACTCATTTAACACATGCTAGACGTTTTTCTAATTAAAATATTCCAACTATAATAGAAGTTGAAATCTGTGTTCTCTTGTGACTTTCTTGGGTGTGGTATTTGAAGACTTGCTGCTGCAACACCGGTGATTCTTCAACTGGTTCCCACAGACCTCTGTGGCCGGTGGTGCAGTTCATGACCTCTCAGTGAGAATTTTAAAAAGTTATTTTGCTTTCAATGATGTATTCATTATAAAAATGAACATTTGCATAATCTTTATCATCTCTATAACACAACCTCAAGTACAAAACCTGTATTTGGTATTTTTGGGGCGTGTGCACTTTTGGATATATTTTTGTTTTGTTGGTGTGTGTGTGTGTGTGTGTGTGTGTGTGTGTAACTGATTTTGTGATAGGCATTGCATTGATGCTGGGGAATGAGTGGCAGGGTTTAATGTGTGGACATTAACATAGCACATCGTGTAGACATATCCCCGGATTCTAATAAGGTCCTTACAGATCTTCTCCTTCCAGGAGGCGCCGGTAAGTAGCAATTTCCTGCTCCAGCCTGATCTTCATGTCAAGGAGCTCATTGTACTCCTTGTTCTGGCGTTCTGCATCAGCCCGAACCTGCATCAGTTGGGCCTCTATGGAGTTCAGCAGTGCCTGGAGGGTGGCCAGCTGGCTGTGATAACGAGCTTTGGTATCTTGCAGTGTCTGCTCCAGAGATTGTTTCTAACAAGCACAAGAAAAAGTGGACATTTCTTGAGGATTTGATTTAAGAGGTGGCTCAATTTTCATCTTTTGAGAGGAATTTCTGCAGCTTGTTATGGGCATCATGCATAATTCTGGCTTTATCTCCCACCCGCTTCCTCTAGGCAACCCCAGTCAGTCAGCTAGGACCATTAGCTCTTCGTTTTTTGTTTGTTTGTCTGTTTTTAGCTTTGCACTCACTGTTCTCTTACTGTATATTGTATTATTGTTTTCAATATTTGCTTCCCCTCCCTGCGGTTTATGGTGCCACTTCATTTGGAGGATTAGCCTTCCTCATGCTATTAACACCAGGCTTGGTCATATGATTTTCTTTGGCTAATGAGATGCAAGTGAAACTGACAATTGCCTTTTCTGAGAAGCTTTAAGAGGGATCACATGGTCTAACTATTGCTCTTTTCTTTGGGCCACAACACTGGCATGCCCCAGCCAGAGCTGCAGCCAAACCATGATGGATGCAGTGTCGTGAGCCACTATGATTTTGGGGTTGTTACCAGAGCATAATTTATCACCTGCTGACTGATTTGCTT